CAATCAATATTACGGAAAGTTTAATCATACCTTATGACTGTTCCCTTAGTAGATCCAGTTGCCAGAAGGGTTGCTTGATTGTTTAGCGCTAATTGAGTTATTTCGTTTAAATGAGCATCAATACCACGAGGGGAAAGAGAAGCACACTCGCTCATGTTATTTAAATTCACAAGCTGTACACTTCCAACCTAAAACTGGAACTCACAAAAAAAGCACTTTGATAACAGATGTAATTGATGCAAGTAAATAAGATGGAACTCGCTTTGAATCCAGGATAAGCCAACATTTGCGATGTCCCGTTAAAATCACAGCCAATCGCGGCTAGACCAGCTGGGTTGTATCTAAAGGGAGCAGCTATTAGCAATGACCGATACAAACCTGAGCTAGTACTACCTGATTTCCTCGGTCCTTATAAGTTTACATGGATTAGGAAATTGAAAGACATGAATACGTTTATCTTGCAAAACTATTAGTTTGGAGTAAGCAAGTAATACGTTTAAAATCGGTCCACCCGCCACAGTGACCTGAAGTTTCATGAAATTGAGGTAATAATAAAAGTTAAAATGAGTAGCGAAACCTAAAACCTAAGCATTCAAAAAGATGCACTGAGGGAAGAGGAGAAGCAATGAGAATGCTAAAGCCAAGAAAATAAAGAGCTCATTTGTAGTTTACTTTTGCCAAATTTGAACGGCAACCCTTAAAATAACAAACAACGTATCAAACACAAAGTCCACATTAAAAAAAAGGACAAATAGGCACCTCGAGGACAAGTTCCTGCTGTTTGTCATCCCAAACCATTACCGTATTAGATGGATATTTTGCATAACTTCCTCCTCCAACGAACACAATGATATTAGATCTGTGCAATATGCTAGTAACCTTAAAAGAAAAAGTAGTGAACTAGTCAAAAAAACCTGAATCAGCATACCTTAACGCCACCTATTTCTTCTCTACTGAAACTTCGTAAAAGTACAGCCGGATGTGAATTGAAAAGTTGTATTCCAGAATCAGTAGCTACAGCAAAACAATCCTGTTGTGCATTGAAACAAGCGCTATGCACCTTTGAGACGGCCGGATTCATGCTGGAAAAATTACGCTAGAAGATACTTTGGACAAGAACTGGCGTGAAACAAAACCCAGATTAGTTTAGCTCGTAAACGAAGGGAAAATGAAGCCCCGAACTAGGATATATGGGAATGATGTGAGGAAAACAGGACTAGAACATAAGGGGATTTTTCCCGCCTCCCCAACATAAAGCAAGCAGATAAGGGAATATTATGCTACCTTTCAGTACCTGTTACCCATTATTTATACGGTTAAAGAAAGGCGATATCCCGGAGTTTTGTTTATAAATCTTAACGGAGTACTGTAACACGACGAGTACGCATCAGTTGATATGATCACATTGCACCTCTATCAGGTTATCGTAGACGAAAATCGAGAACAGTTTAGGTACAATGCTGCTCCTCCTTTTAAACTTTTTTGCCTTGCCTCTTGCTTTGAGGATATCAGTTCATCAGGATATTTGAGTGCGTGCCACTTTCGACTGTCCTTAAATGTCTGGAAAAGCCCTTGTAGAGAAGTACTACCTGCTGGTTATTTTCCGCGAGTTTTTTGCCTGAGCAAAGAAGAAGTTGTTTTTTA